ATTTAATCTAATAATAATAAATATAAAAAACAACTCATTTTTAACTTTAAAACAATTTTTAACATAAATTGCTGCAAATATTTGTATGTGTTTTTTCTAATTCAAAATGTCATTTGCATATCCTTTTGACAAAAATATTTATCAACACATTTCCCATTGAATTACATTTATTTCTCAATACTATTTACAAAAGCAATGATAATAAAGAGTGAATTCCCGAATGAATTGATAGTAATATTATATTTCTATGTAAAATGCATATAAAACAAAAACATCATTGTTATCTAGAATCTAGATTCTAGATATTTACATTATTTCAATGATTGTATTCAAAATTACTACTTAATCCAAAGGCATTATTCACGTGTTAATATTAATGTTTATAAATTATTTTTTAATAGTTACACTAACATTAGAAATTAAGAATTAATACTTATATCAATTATTTATAAATATTAATAGAGTAACTATAATAGTTAGTTCAAAATAATGACTGTTTGGCAACAATGTCAATAATTGATATATTTATGTTTTTGTGTTTTAAATATTATTTAAATCAATCTAGATAATTAAAGACTTATAATTTAATCAACGAATTGAATATTACCATGTTACACATAATTAGTTTATTATAAATTCTTTTTCATCTAGTAAATTTATATAACAAATGGATAAATAATTATATACTGTATTTGTAAATTAATTAACATTTATATCATGCACAAATAATAAATACCTGTAGAATATCCAGAATCCATTGAATAAACTATTAAACCATATTGTTAATTAATTAAAATATATTGCTAATCAATTAGAATTTTATTTTATTTTTTATTTAATAGTAATTTTAATTTTCAATACTTCATAAACTACTCATGATAAATATTACAGTACACTATAAACGTATATTGTGTACAAAATATTAAACTAAAATCACATTTAATCACAAAATAATTGATAAATAGTATTATAATTGCGAACAAAAATAGTGGTGACATTTGATAAGCCTTTTGTAACGCAAAATGTAATGTGATTTCAGTCGTTGTTAATCAGATTACAGGTAAAAATCTTCACATTTTTGCATTTAATGGTGAAATGAAGTGCAAAATAAAAATGTGTTTTAAAAAGACATTAAAATAATGGGATTTTTATATTTGTTTTAATTTACTTATTTATGTTTGTTTTAAATATTTAACTATTTTTGAACCATACAAAAACATTTTTTAAGTAAATTTACAAAACAATATATTAGATATTTTAAAAGCAATAATAATCTCAAAACTAAATATTGATATATAAATGACATTATACTTTATTTCGTAACATTAAATCTAAGCTTAATTCAATACAATTCAAATCATAAATAAATGCATTAATATATAGTTAATATTAATATAAATGTTTCAAAAAATAAGCAAAACAACAAATTTTTATTAAAACCTATACTTTCGCCAAAACGTTAAAAAAATATTTACAAGAATTTTGTCATTTTAATCGAAACTGATATTTATTTTATTGACTATAAAGTCTCTCTCTCTCTCTCTCTCTCTCTCTCTCTTTCTCACTCACTCTCCCCACTCACTTCCCACATAAGCATTAACTGTAAATTCAATCGTAAATCTATTTTTTATTTAACATTTTGTGTTTATATTTAATAAATGGCATTAAATTTAATTTCACTGTCGATATGATGGCAGAGGACTTGCATTCCGGCGCTTTGTTTGCCTTTAAAAAAACAAATACAAAAAACCATTAAAAATTAATTCAATCAAATAAATCACATAACATTCTCGTTATACAAATATTACAAAACAAATTCCTCTACTTTAAGAATATTCAATACAAAAACAAAACAACGAATACAGTATACTCTCGTTATAGACAACTATACTAACAATAATGGCCTAAATTTTGAATTTAAACACTCAATACAGACCTCTTTCCTGAACAAAACGGCCGCCGCTTTCATGCGTTTAATTAACTCCAATTTAACGGCAATTGAGTCCGTCTTCTGGTCTTCGCTGAAGACGTCGATGAGTGCGTCAAACAGTTCCGCCCTAACAGTCAGGTCGCGCTCCGACTCTACGCCCGTCAGCAACAGTGCGGCCACGCGTTCAACAAACGCCGGGTCCGGCGATCGTTGGCCGCAAACTGACAGCACATTTATGACGTTAATCTTGACGGTTATGGACCCGACGCCGGGCGCCGCCGCGGCTACGGTCTGGCAGTGGGCGCACAGTCTGTCCAATTCGTCGCCAGTGAGTGTAAGGGTCGGGTGTCTGGCAATTAGCGCGCGTATAGTATTGGTCGCCTCTTCGACCAGTGGCTGACCGCCGGTCGACCCGTCAAATACCATATGATATATGTTTTTCCAGAGCTGGTCTCCGATGGATAGCGTTTGCGGTGATATACAGGCGACCAGATTGTGTACACACGTTAGTGAACACAGTTGTATGCTTTCGATACTATTATAAGTGTGGGAAACAAACAAACTATACGTTAAATTCAATGGCAAACAGTTTTCTTACAAAATAATAAATGAATTAAATACTAAATTTAATTATAAGATTAGTTAACAAAACAATTGGAAATCAGTTTAACGCCAAACAAACTAAATGGACTATAAATAGGAATTGAATTATGTTTGCATTTCTTATACAAACAAACAGTTAATTAAATTAATTTTGTTTTTTAAATAAACAAATAGTTAACAAAAACAATAAAATTCAATACCAGTTCACTATCTCAGCGCCAAAGCCGTGCAGTAATAGCTTGTCTTTCAATTGGCTGTCGAGTGGACACAAATGTTCACCAATTTTGGCCACCAGTCCCTTCCCGAGGATTATGGCCTCTAATTCTGGGCTAATAGTAGACACTTCGGGAGCAGTCGTGTCACTGATATCACCATTATTTGCATTGCTATCTCCATCATCGCCATCGCTGGCCTCCATATCTTCGTCGCAATCCATGTCCTGGTCGTCGTCGTCGGCATCACTACCGGCGCCGCCGTCAGCGCCGGTAATATTCGTAATGAGTTCGAGTGCCACCCGTTTAGCCAATACTAGATTCTTGACATCGAAGTAGTTTTGTTTCAAACAATCGATGTCTTTCTCGGTGTCCACAAACTATAAGCCAATAAAAAACAAACAATTAATTAAATAATTACTAAATTAAAAGTAATTAAATTACAAGTATTTACTAAACCTGTTGTATGTTTTGAGCAAAATCCACGATTTGTGGCAAACATTGAGCGCTCAACGCGTTGTCTATGAGAGCGAATGTGAACTCAAGAGCTTTGCTATCGGAACCGATGCCCATATTGTGGCCGATAAACGCCGTTAAGAGAGACAAATGCATTTGCGACGAGTTTTCGGGCAATTTTATTAACAAACTTTTGATAACATCTAAATTTTCGGGCACTAAAAGAGCCGGTATTTGATTCTCTTCGCCGACAACTGACAGACATTGGGCTGAAAACAATGGACACAAATTAATACACAATCAAAGAATTCAATTCATTGCGAGACATACCGGAAGCGATCGCAACCTCGATGTTAGTGTCGCCGACATTCAGGCCATTGACCAGTATTTGAGTGACATTTGATGTGTTGAACACATTTAGAGCCTTATCTGATGTGCCGCTGAATTAACAACAATTGGATTAAATCGTGATAAAAATGATTGTCACAAAAAAGCATTTACCATAAGTTAGTCAATAGTCGACACAAATTGATATAGATTTGCGGCACGAGTGGCGACGGCTGGTGTTTACCGGCGGGTGTCAGCCAATTAGCGGCCACAAAGTACTGGTTAAACGCGGCGACAATCGGTGTCATGACATCGGCGGTGACCATCAGATCGCATAGTTTGTCCGATAGTGACGACAAGTGGCTGTTAATAGACATCGAGAGTGATATACAGAGAGTGACAATAAGATGATGGGATCAACTAATCAGTTGGTGAGTGACAATTACCACAAGCAATCGATGGCCGCATTGCGACAATTCTCCACGCGATCCAAACACATGGGACAGACGGTGCGGATCAGTTCGGCGATCTCTTTGTCGGTGTATTGGGTCTCATAGTTGGCCACCGAAATGTTAAATAAAAAATAGATTTACGATTGAATTTACAGTTAATGCTTATGTGGGAAGTGAGTGGGGAGAGTGAGTGAGAGAGAGAGAGAGAGAGAGAGAGAGAGAGAGAGACATATGATAAAATTCCTGAATACTATTTAATCATTCACGCGATGATTATATAATCGCTAAACAATTTAATCTAATAATAATAAATATAAAAAACAACTCATTTTTAACTTTAAAACAATTTTTAACATAAAATCGCCGACAAATGCAGACATTGTGGACGTGAAAGAGCGCACTGCGGGCACCGGTACTAATCAACACCGGGTTCAACACGCGTTCAAAGTGGTACTATTGGGAGCGCCGGCGGTCGGAAAGACTAGTCTGATTGGTCGGTACGTGAGGGGCGAGTTCAAGGAGAGGCGCGCGGCCACCCATTTCGCCGACTGTATCGCACGGACAACGTTTTTGGACGACTCGGCGATTAAACTAGAGGTGTGGGACACTCCCGGTGCCGATCGGTACCGATCGCACGCCTTCCTATACTATACCCGATGTCACGCGTCTATCGTTGTCTACGATATGACAGCGCCGGACACTTATCGCTGGGCTCAGGCCATGTGCCGGGAGATCGTGGTTAAAAGCACGCATAACCCTATTATAGCTTTGGTGGGAAATAAGACCGATTTGGTCAGTGGCCGGGCGGTAGTGAGCCGGGAGGTGGAGGCTTATGCCAGGAATAATAGCCTGATATTTATGGAGGTTAGCGCTAAAGCCGGCCGTAATTTAAACTCCGTGTTGACGGCTATGGCAAAGTTGTTACCTGAATGCGATTAAGGTTGTGTTATGTTAATCACCAGGTTAATTTTAAAGTAATCTTCATGTATATTTGTATAAGTTTAAACTAATGTTCAAATTAAATAATTATTAATGTTTGGGTTAATATTTTTAAATTATTATCATTTGTATATGGTGTACATTAAATAGTGTTTGTTCACCATTATTTTCAAAAAGATTATGGTCATTTCAGGACTTAAATTCTCAGATTGTTTATTATTTAATATAATTTATACAATTTTACTTTAAGTACTTTTACTTTCAGATATTTAATTTTATAATTAAAGTGTAAACTCTATTAATATAAATTTTATATGGTAATTTATTTTTGCACTGATTATATTAATTATAAATTTTATAATTGACTATCACTCTTTGCAAGTGCTATGATAGATATTTGAATTGAACTTATTGATTCTTATACACACTCATATTAAATACTCAATTTATGAATTTAATTAATTTACTATTAATAGTTGTTTGCATCAAAATGATAAACATGTTTGTCAGTTAAAAGTAACAGTTAATTATTAAAATCTATACATTTATTAAATAAAACAATTTTATTATAGTTTTGTTAATGCTTTGCGTTGCTATAAATATTTTATTGAACAGACATTTAAAAAAAACATAATATACGGTAAGTTTCAATAATATCCTTGATTAAACAATTTAATAAAAATAATGTTAAAAGAGATGTTATAATTAAAAAAGCAAAAAATCAGACAAACTTTTCAATCCAGACATTTTTCAACAAGTGATTAGTTTTTGTGAATTTAATTGCATGAGAGAGAGAGAGAGAGAGAGAGAGAGAGAGAGAGAGAGAGAGAGAGAGAGAGAGAGAGAGNAATTAATTATACATTACCGGCACTGATATGAAAGAGAGAGAGAGAGAGAGAGAGAGAGAGAGAGAGATTTAATTAAAAAACAAAACAATTGCTAAATTGTGTGCACGTCTGAGTCTGTTTATGCCATGATGCTTAACCTTGTTTACTTACGCTAAACTAATCCAATGACAGCTAATCACCAATACCTGTAGTTAACGTTTGACACTTCCCTTTTTGGTTGAATATATTTCTGGAATACATTTTTGGGAGAATGAATATTAAATATTTGTTTTTAAAATCTTTTTATCTTCCATAAAACAGGGGAAATAAGACAAAATGTGGTGAATCTACAAACAGTGAAACATTAAACAAATATAACTTTTCAATGAATCTGTATTTTCCCCTATTTGGAGAGGAAATATATTGGATAAATGAGAAACTTTCCAAAAGTGGCTAATATTATAATACCTGTAGTACAGGAAAGATTCAAATCAATTTCAATTAATACCTGCTAGATAATGTACCTAAATAATAATAATTTTTATTTTGCATTAAGCGATGAAATACATAACATGTTGTATTCATTTCAAAATATAATTCAATTGATTTACAAAAAGTTTATAATTATTTTCATTCGTAAATTAATTGGCAATAAATAATAATAATTTTTATTTTGCATTAAGCGATGAAATACATAACATGTTGTATTCATTTCAAAATATAATTCAATTGATTTACAAAAAGTTTATAATTATTTTCATTACGTAAATTAATTGGCAATTTGTTATATAGTTTAATACAGTAGTTAAAAAAGCTTTTGTCGATTAAATTAATTCTGTTATAATTAGTTTCAATCAATGAACCGTTTCTTGAAGTTTTAAAGTTTAGATGATTTTGCCATTCAATGGGAATATCATTGATTTTACACTTAATTTTTTGCACAATCTTTAGCGCTGAGATTTCACGACGAGATTTAAGTGACTTTATATTTAATAATTCCAGTCTTTGGTCATAATTAAGCTCTGATTTACCCATTTTGAAGCAAATATACTTTGTTATCCTTCGTTGGATTTTTTCTATTTTGTCACTTTGTGTTGCGGTTGGAGTCCAAGCGTTATAAGAATATTCAATAAGTGGCAAAACATATGTTTTATACAGTTTAAGAAAAGTAAAACCATTGGCTTTTTTGCAGATAAATTTTAAAAAATTAAATTTTTTAAAGCATTTTTCAAATATGTCATTAGAGTGTGAATTAAATGTTAATTTTGTGTCATATGTGAGGCCTAAATGCTTATGTTTGTCAATAATTTCTATTACAGTGTTATTTATGGTATAATTAGATAAATTACATGTTTTTAATGTTATTCTTAAATGTTTTGTTTTACTTTCATTCAGTTTTAATTTATTGTCTAAACAATAATTTTCAAAACTGTTCAAATCTGATTGTAAAACATCGAAATCAGTTTGCGATTTAATTGCATTAATAATTACGGTGTCATCAGCCCATTGAAAAAATGGACATTTTATGACATTACCGAGATCTGAGACATAAAGGTTGTACAATAAAGTTGATAACACGCCCCCCTGGGCAACCCCGCTGTTTATACGGTTAGAAATTGATTTAATGTTATTATAAAATATAAATTGTTTTCTATTTATTAGACTATTTTTGATTATTTCTAGATATTTGCCATTTATTCCCAAATTATATAATTTAGAGAATAGTATATTATAGTCAACTGAATCGAAAGCATTTGATAGATCCATGAAAATAACATCAATGCAAATGACATTCTTATCATTTAATTGATTGTATAGTATATTCTGTATGTCTATATGTTGTTGAGCTGTATTTACATGTTTTTTATACCCATATTGTTGTGCGGGAACTAAATTAGCTAAATATACATATGGTCTTAATTTATTTAAAATTATAGTATCAAAAATTCTTAATATATTTGATTGAATAGCAACTCCTCTATAAGAGTTAAATAGATGTTTATTTTTACCTTTTTTTAAAATAGGAGTTACTTTAGAAACTAACAGTTTTTCTGGAAATTTATTATAAGTAAGAATTTTGTTGTATAAATAAAATAATAATTTTGTGGATCCATTGAGACAGTGTTTAAGAATCCTATTCGAAATAAATGTTGTTCCTGATGATTTATTAAATTTAAATGTTTTATAAGCAGTTAATATGTCATTCATAGAGATATCAATATCTGGGAGATAATGATTCTCAATGTCTGTATATGTGTTAATGTTTTGTTCTGTATTAATAAAATTTGATAAAAAATATTGTCTGAAATTATCTAAAATTTCTGTATTATCTGTAATAGGATTAGAATTGCTGTCAATAAATGTATTATTTGTTTGTTCAGTATTTGTAGACTTTATATATTGGTATAAATTATGCAAATTCTTTGATTTGTTAATAATTGAAATGAGTTTTTCGTTTTCATATGAATGCAAACTGCAATTCAATTTATTGCAAATGTCATGATATCTCTCTATAATATTAGTATTGTTAGGATTTAGATATCGTTTTTTAGTTAATAATCTCTTTTTGATTATAAGTTTATGAATATATTTAGGAAAATATTTTTTGTGTTGAAATTTTTTGGTTTTTTTGGGGAAATGATTTTCAAATAAATTCTCATAATATGTTTCAATTGTATTATAGATTGAGTCAATATTTAAAGAGTTAGCACAGATTTGGTCCCAATTTGTATTAAATAGCTTTTCATTAAATTCATGCATATTATGATCACTTAAGTCATAAATAACTTTGTTTTTAACTATTGTTTTATTGTTTTGATATAAATCTATGTTAAATATGACTGCTTTGTGGTCACATGTATTTGAAATATTATCTATTGTCTGAACATTGTTTACTATATTTGTGTTACAAAGTATCACATCTAATATGTGGTGACTTTTTTCATATGTTATTTGTGTAACCAATTGTTTGAAACCAAAACTTAAAAACAATTCATTAATATTTTTATCAGAATTTTTATTATTTATTTGATTAAAATTGATATTTAAATCACCTGTAATTATATGTGATTCATATTGAGATGAATTTTCTATTTGTTGTAAATTATATTTAAGCTTATTGTAAAGATTTTGATTTGTATAATAATTGGGAGGTATATATAATGTTGTAATCAAATACTTTTTTCCCTTTATTATGAGTTCTACAGAAATGCTCTCAAATTCTATAAATAATTGTTTTTCTAATGAGTTGTATGTATTGTTTATACCTATGAGAACACCCCCAGCCCTACCCTCACGGTCTTTACGGTAAATCTTATAATCATTTGTTATATAATTGTTTGGTATGCTATCTGTGAGCCAACTCTCGTTTATGATAAATATATCTGAATTTAATTCATGAAGTTTTGCTTTCAATAATTGGATTTTATTACATAGACTGCGAGTGTTTGAGAAAAATATTTTTAAGTGTTTTCTATTTGTGTTAGAATTGTGTCTAAAAAAGCGTTGTTTTGACTGTTTTGTTGGGGAAAATTGTTTTGACTGTTAATGATATTGTTGTCTGTGTTAAGGCTATGGGATTTGTGTTTATTTCTTACCATCGGTCTCCCAAACCCATAATAAATGTTATAAACATTATAATCAGATTTGAGCCAAAATGGTTGTGGAATAACATTATTTTGTGAACATTTTTTATAATAATTTCTGTAATCTTGAGAAGGGTATGAATATATTGTGTTAAGCGTTGAGTAAGTGTTGGGAAACATTTTGGGAACTTTCTTGAAATTTTCCTCTACTTTCTTGATGTTTGTGTCAGATTGTTCTTTAGGATTGAATTTTGGTTTAACTGATTTAGTAGGCATTGAGTGATTGATGTTTAAAATTTTTGAGTATTTTGCCACGTGTTTTGGGAACTCAAGGTTATTGTGGAAAATTGCATCAAATGTGTTATTTGTTTGTGAATTTTCGGTACCAATTATTTGGCCATTTCTCGCATTTCTGTTGATATCTTCTCCATAATTAGTATCCATTGAATTGTCACTAATATTAAAGATCTCTTCATTCAGATCACTAACAATGTTATCACTGTTTTTACACACATTTGAAGGCGTGTTTGTGTTTAACTCAAAATCACATTTAAATTTAATCACTGTTTCAGTTATACTATTGATGTATTGTTTAATTTGATTTCTGGCAATATTACCACGTTTACTGTCAATTTGCGTACATATTGAAGCACTATTTAATTTAATTTTGTTTATTAATTCAGTTAAAATAGAGAGAGCAAATTTTTGCGTGTCAGCACTCATGGCTGCCATAACATAGTCATTATCATTAAATATCTAATAATATTTATTTTTATAAATTATAAATGTGACAAATATTTACATAAATTTATAATGATAAAGCTTAATTTCGCAAACTATCATTTGGCATATGGATTATATCAATATCTATGTGAAAAGACATATACCTTTCATTACTATATACATTTGTAACTATGTTTATTATCAAATATACAATCAGGAATTTAATTAGCCGTTGATAAGAAAATTATATACATTTTTAATGTGAAGCTGCAAAATGTCATGTAATATACATGAATCAATTAATAAATATTGACATATCATAGTCTAGTCCAGTGACTATTTGCTACATAATATAATTTTTAAAATAGGGTTGAATAGAAAGGAATTTATGGTTTATTAGAAATTATATGAAACATCCAAGAATTAGTGATTGAAATTTTGATGCAATATAAAATTGTAATTTTTAATCACTAGCAGGAATATATTATTGGTAAAATGTTGATAATATATTAGTGCATATGTACTAATTTATAATAAACTATTAAACAAACGATTAAATATAAATTAGGTAATCTTTTTTGTAATGTTTCTAATTTACAATTTATTTTTATTCTTACTCATTGTTTTATAAAAACATTTAAATTTTATTAAGTAATTTAGAATGTAAAAAATAATAATTTAGATTATTTTACAAATGTATAAATTAGTACATTAAACATAACATAAAAATATATATTTTTCAAAATCTTAATCTAAATAGATAATTTAAAAATTAAAATTTGTATTTTTATTTAGTATGCACCAGTTTAAAATAAGTAATATAAAGTTATTTAGAAATTACAAATAAATGTAAATGGTTACAGTAAACTTGTAGTAATATTTTTCATTTGACAACACTATTCAATAGTATTGATTAAGTAAATAATCAATTATATGAGGAAATAAAATCACGATAATTACATCCCATATATAAACAGCAGATAATACAACAGAAGGACAGAATGATATGCCCAGAAGGACAGACATCACAATTTGATACATTATTGTAAAATACTAACCACCGTTCAAACAATGGTGAAACAGGGCTTGAAAGTGCTGTTCTACCCGATCGACGCGGTTGGCCACGTAAACTCGGCCATCGGTATAGCGCAGTCACTGTTGGCCGCCGGACATCAGCCAACATTTTTCATCACGGACAATTGGCGCGGAAAACTATGCGCATACGGCTTCCAAGAGGTCATATACCCCACAGCGGACATATCGGCCGCGGGGGGCGACGATCCGGCCCGCTATTGGTATATGAAACTCGTAGAGGAGGGCTGTATGGCGTCGGGTCGCAGTCCACTCGACAATATGATTGGCATTCGGACTAAGTTTAAAGAACGCCTAATCGCTGAGATTAAACGCCTGACGCCTATTTTGCTCACCACATTGGCTGACCTCCAGCCCGATCTCATAGTGTTGGACAACTTGGTGTTTAGCCCGGCGGTCGAGATCTCGGGCATACCCTGGGTGTGGACTAATAGCTGTGGCCCTCTGTTTATAATCGACGATCCGGATTGTAATCCACCACCTGGCTCAGGTACGAGCCACAGTGTTATAATAATTTTGTCAAACTTTTATTTTGTACATAGATGTTTAGATGTTGACTAATAAAATTGATGTTTATTTCTGATACACAGGACTTTCTGTTACAGGCGATAGGAATGAGTGGAAACTATTTAGACAAACGGTGAACGAATCGACGCTTAAGATTTGGACAGAATATAACCAATATGTGGTCTCTATGGGCGCAACGGCGCTGAAAAAGTGCCGGTATTTCAATCCATCGCCGTATCTAAACATCTATCCCTACCCTAAAGAATTGGATTATACGGACTGTCGGCCTCTGCCTCCCCATCACAAACGGTTTGACACATTTATGAGAGTTGAGAATCAGTCAAAGTTTGAGATACCGGTGTCGTTGAGAGACAGACCGGGAAAACTGGTCTATTTTTCCTTAGGATCTATGGGTGCGGCAGATGTGGACAATATGAAGAGATTAGTGAATATTTTGTCCAAATCTAAGCACAGGTTTATTGTATCGAAAGGACCGCTTCATAACGAGTACTCATTGACTGATAATATGTGGGGCGAGGGGTCTGTCCCTCAGATCCAAGTCTTACCGTTAGTTGATTTGGTCATAACCCACGGCGGGAACAACACAATAACTGAAACATTTTATTTTGGCAAACCTATGATAGTTATGCCCATATTTGTTGACCAATACGATAACGCACAGAGAGTACAGGACAAGGGGTTTGGTATACGACTTGATGTCTACAAGTGCTCCGAAGAAGAGCTATTGAATGCAATTGAGAGACTATTATATGATTATATTTTAATACAAAACCTCCAGAATATATCACAGAGAATACAATCGGATAACAGTATTGCAAAACTTCCGCAACTTTTTGAAGATATAATTGAGAAAAATAAAATTCATCAATAAATTTAAATATGTTGTAATCATTCAAATGAACAAAACTGAACTTTTTAATTAATATTAAATACTATATATTAAACATATCTAATTTAACCATTTTTAAGAATAAATTAAAGTTAAAGTGTACATCGTTGCCAGATTTATTGTACCATCGTTGTCACTAAATTATAAAATCAACCCATTATTTTATTAATGAAATTTACAGTTATATCATTTTTATTAATAATTACCTTATTTCTGTTTGGTAAATAATACACTCTCTAAACCCTTGAGCACAGTATCGACATTCTTCAAGATAGAGTCCCAGTGCTTGTACTCACTAATCAACGGCACGTCACCTGTAATGGTAGGGGTGTGTTGTTCATCATCATCATCATTATCATCAACAGTATTACCATCATTGACATCAACGGCACCGGTAGTAATGGTGGTCGCCTCGCCGTTGATCACAGAATCACCAAAACATAAGACAACAAATCCTAATAATAATACTATAACTGTTAATTTGTTAAGCATTTTGATTTTTGGTTTCTTGTTTGTCACTTATTTTTGATAAATAATGTTTAAATGTTTATTTCTAATTAAATAGAATATTTTTATGATTTATAATCGTATAATTTATATTTCAATGTGGGTAATTAGTAAGTTAATTTTAAAATTTTTTATTACACTTTTAACCCTCATGTTAACTTGTAAATTAGAATTTTCTATACATTTTGTGTTAATTTTATTTTTATTATTAATTAATGTAATAAAAATATTTTGCATTCACAGACATATATTTATAAAGAATATGACAACTTATTATTTATAATGATATAATGTCTGGTCTTTGCAAAACAGCAAAAATGTTTATTTCTGAGATAATTAATATAGTTAATTAGTAGTGATAGTATTTTGATAGTTTAATTTTTAAGAATTAATCACTATTTACTAAATATTTACTCCACACTTCAAGTGTTTAATTTAATAAAATTTTGAACATTCATAACTCTTATCTAGAATCTTTTTAATTTAAGATTTGCATAATAAAATGTGATCGTTGATAACCAGTTTTTAAATCACATGCAATTCACATGTTATGTAATCCCTATCCAACGCATCCCAATCCCTAACCTTCATGTGCTATACTTTTAGTGTATCGATTGCCAAACAGTTGGCTTTATGTCATACATCTCTACACATGTGTGCAAAACTATACAGTATTCAAGTATACATAGAATCTATGACTTTTATAGATTATATTTAGTAGAATACTGTGATAAACATAAAGCTAGAATTTCATTTTTGTAATTTATAAATAAATATAATTTTTATGTCAAAAAAATAGTTGTTACAAATTAATTAATTAGTGTTGTCATTATTAGCTAAAAATGAATTGTTTGTCAAATATTAAATTACATTATGGTGTTATTATAAAAAAAATATTTTGTTTTAAATTGTATTTCAAATACAGTACAGTTATAGTAATTATGATATAAAACACTGTATATATTAACACAAAATGTTAATTAAATATTAAATTAAATTAACACAAATCTGCCACAGTCTTCCATTACCAAGGTAAGAATTATTACGGATTTATGATTCCACAAGTTTATAAAATATAAATATATACAATTAAAACTAATTAAAATAATTGCCTAAAATATAGCAAAATTGCATAATATACTATTTTTAAGCAACTAGTATCTATAAATAAAATTGCAACCATCAAACTTTATGTATTTGTAAAAATAATAAATTATACAATTATTAATTGAGTAAATATTATTCTCTATGACAGTGATATAACTAATTAAAATTAACCATGACAATACAAGAAAAGAATGACCAGGTTAACAATGACCTACTAGAACCAACACTGGTGGACACCCAGATTGATAATAATGTAGAAAATGTGATTGAGAATGTTCGACTACTTAATAACCATGAAACGATAAAAATAACCATCACTACTGATAATGAAAAACCTGGTACTGAGAATAGCGGGGGTGGTGTTGAGCCGCCTGTAGTAAAGGCAGATATTTGCGATTCACTGGCCCGTCGGGTACCAGCTTTTGGTCTCCTACTCGTGTTATTGTCGGACATATGTTTCAGTATTGCGTCAGTCATTGTCAAAGTACTGACACAATTGCATTCAATACAGATATTGGTTTTCAGGTGCAGTACTTTCTCTCTCTCTCTCTCTCTCTCTCTCTCTCTCTCAATATTTAAAATAAATAAATTACAATTAATGATGAATGCCGTGTATCCCAACAGTTTTGGATTTCAATTCCTACTCTACACAACAACATGCTTAATATACAAATACCCATTAACACCGGCTATTAACCAACGCGTAACTTTAGCTTACCGGTGCCTGACCGGGACACTATCATTCTCGGTACTATACATCGCGTACCGGTTGATGCCATTAGCCGACGCAACCACCCTACGTTTCACCACGCCCGTATTTGTGGCCGTATTCGCCTATTTCATACTGGGTGACAAACTCACCATGGTTCAATTGGGCACAGGGGTGTGTACGTTGGCCGGCGTTGTGGTTATCGCCAAACCGGTGTTCCTATTCGGGGAGGAAGATGGGAATGGGGCCGAACCGGCAAAACACGAGAACCGCATATTGGGTACACTATTGGCCACTCTGTCGGCCGCCAGCGCAGCCATGACGGCCATAATGTTGCGCCGACTTAAGGGCACACCCGTGGCTGTGGTCATCGTATGGTACTCGGCCACAGTAATTGTAACGGGACTAATTTACCTTGCTATTATACAGCGGCTAACGGTGCCCGAGGGTTGGTTGGCGTGGACACTGTTGGCCGGGGTGGGAGCGTGCGGCGCGTGCGAGCAGTTTTTCATCACAAATGCCCTGCGCTACGAGTCGCCCAGTCCCGTGTGTATCGTACGCACATTTACCATCGTGTTATCGTTCATGTGGGAAGTGACCTTGCTCCGGGAGCCCATCGAGTGGACCAGCGTATTGGGCGCCTGTATGTGCAGCTCATGTGTGGTGGTGTTGGCCCTATTCAAGTGGCGTCAGGAGTCGCCCGATTTGTTTGCTAATATGTGGCAGCGATTAACTTGTGGCCCGACAGGTGCTAAGGGTAGTGATACTGATGCTGATCAGTGATTACCATGGTGAATTTTTAATATTAAACAAGCTTATTAAGGATTAGACCAGGATATTAAGTAAAAGTATTACCGAGTTAAGATTTATCCAATGAAGTATTTTAGCTATGCTACCTTAATTATTTACTTAATGTGTTATATTTTTGTAATTTACAAAAATGATATATTTTTTTGTGTTAAATAACATTTTTCAATCTAGTTTATTTTTGACAAAAAGTATTATTTTTTCAATTAATAAATAACTTATGTATCTCAAAAACATCAATAAATATGACCTAGGTAATTTATACAATAAATTGAATTTATTTAGCTTGATAAAATCATATCATATTTAAAAATCACAACCAATCGACAAATTGAATGATATAATCGACAGCCAATTGTAATCCTTTAAACATTGTAATAGAATAATATAACTACTTTTACCTTGGTGAATATTTACTGCCAATAAACAATAAATTACCATGTGACTATTTAAATATAGCGCTCAAAACTGTACATCAAATGCAAAACAAAAAACATTTCAATATTAATGAGAAAACATTTGCATTTAAAATACGTTCACAAAATAAACGCAAACAACAAAACACACGTATTATATGAATGGGTCACAGAATGCGATATTCATAAAAAACATTACGCATATTAGGGGTGGAGTTGAGTTACACTACAATACGGACACATTATAACAGTATTAACAGCAAACAGAGTGGGCATACATAGAGCGCACGCGCGTCACAGCATAGGTGACGGCACCGGCATTAATACAAACACACAGTGTTTATATGTGGCGTCCATTTTGGCACTCAATGTGATTGACTGCGAGATCACAACAAACACCGCATAGAAGAGCAGTACCACAATCGCCGACACAACAGACCACGTGTTGCCACAGACACACACTTCCCCATCAGTGTGACCGTCGAGACCACCGATTGGATGGACACCACCCGAAGCCACTTGTCCTCCACCACAGCCGCCGCCACCCCCGCCATCGTCGCCCCCTCCGGCTCTCCCACTGTGACCACAACCACCGCCAGTGTCTCCACAGCCGCCCAACCCGTGTCCGTAACGCTCACCACATTCACGCCCCACAACCGTACGGACAACCCGTTCAGTAAGACTCCCGTCACCGGCGCTGTCGTCGTCACACCGGCTGTCGTACCGGTCATCACATCCACGCATCAACACTCGTCGTCACCGCCGAAGTCCATGTCCTCCTCCACGGCCACCACCGGCGGCGACGCAACCGCCGATACGGCCGCCGCTGAAAGTACCGGTCGGTCGTCTGTGATCTTAGCGCCCGCGCGACTGGCGCTCAACAATAACACAAACACTACGACAGGAGCGTCCATATCGTCGGCCACCCCTTTGGGAGGTGTGGGCGCCGGCGCCGCAGTCGCCGCTCCACTCCAACACATGGCCACCAATAGGGACACGATTAACAACTACTTTAGCAGTAATATCACCGCCGGTGGCGCTGCTATGACCACAACCACAACCGGCTCCACAACGGCCACCACAGGCGGCGGTTCGGGCGGTATTCTGGCCGAGAGTCGACTGTCGAGCGCTGTGTTATCGACAGCCGTCAGCACCGGTACAACCAGTAAGTCATTGTTGAGGCCATCGGTGTTACGATTCGCCGATTCGTCCACTAATAGTATGTATTAAATAACATCACAAAAAACTTTCCTAATACTTATAACTATAAATTTATTTTCGTTTACTTTTAGTTTAATTTCAATTTATAATTATAAGTAAAACTTTATGTAATTAAAACCAAACTAATTGTGATAATTGTTTATAGACTCGCAAAACGTGCCCAAAGAGTCCAAAGTGTTTGCATTTGTATCGCTGTCTAAGGAGGACATCCCGAGACCGGCCACAACTCTACTGCCGGCGGACAGTATCATACGGTGCGGCGCCGACACCACCTCTCCGTTCAATGGGGAGGAGGCGTCCGCCGGCGGCACTACCAGCACCTCCAACACTACCACCTCATCGACCAAAAGCACTCACACGTCGTCGTCCACCGCAAACACCTATTCATCGGACGGAAGCGTCAGTTTACTGCCCGCACCCGTCGTTTCCGTTGCCACCGCCGCGACGGCCGGTTCGGTGGCCATATCGAGCAGTAGCGATGTGGTGGTGGCGGCGGCCGCCGGTGCCGGGAGTAGCAGTAGTGGCGGCACCGGCAGTATCGACAGCTGCGACGACAGTAACAGCCAATCGGCGTTTGTTTTTGGTCATAATTTGGCCGAACGCGCAGTGTATGTGCAAAACAGTGGCCAAAAGCACGGCATCGACGGCCCGGACGACACGGCCAACGGCTCGAAACGGACAAAGACAGCGGCCGGTGACGACTCGGCCGCTAAACACGATATAAACGGTGATATAGCGACAGGAGGTTTCTCCGCCGGCACCGAAGGCAAGGCTGACGGCGCGCTTGACTTGTCTTCCACCGGCGCCGCCGAGCCGTCCGGTTCCGCCGCCTCTCCCGACAAACACTCGGATAATAAGCGAAAATACGAAGTGATTACCGGAGAAGAAGGTATCGTATATTTTTGTGAACAATTGATTGTTGTTTTAATTGTAATTAATTTGTTTTTTGTCACTTTTTAATCGCCGACTCACTCGTGCGGACGCAGACGAGCAGAACGTGTTGTCAATGAACTGTCGACTGTATGCGTGGGAAACAGAGAATTGGCGAGAGAGGGGTCGCGGGTATCTGCGGCTCAACGACGCCATCAAAGACGATAAGCTGTGCTCAAGAATTGGTAACTGTTTTGGTTTTTCTAAACAATTCTGTTTCGCAACACATTTCTAACGCATATATTGTTTTATTTTGTACCCACTTTTATCGGCCAGTGATGAGGACGTCGGGCGCGCTTCGGGTAATACTGAACGCTCACGTGGTGTCCGGCATGCGGTTTGATGTGTCCAACGAACAGTGTCTTCGGTTCACGAATGTGGACGGCATTTATCTCATCAAAGTATGTCTTGACCGACGCGCTCACTGCTCTTCGCGGCCAACTTATGACCGCTTATTACAAATAATTGACAACTAATACGTCTCTCTCTCTCTCATAGGGCGCGCCCAAAGACATCGACCAACTGAACAGTGCCGTCGAATACCGGTTACGGGAGATCGCGAAACGCAGCAAACAGTGCGACGAACACATGAACGCCGAGACCACTGCCGCCGACAAACACAAGTGGGCCGACAGACCACTACCGCCGGTGACGCCGCCGCCAGTCGACAGTCAAACGCTGCCTTCGCAGCCGACGCCTCTCGAAGAGACTTCTAATGATAGTTAAAAATTGTTGTCATCCCTCCCGTCGCCGATCCCTAGACCGCCTCCCTTTCCCTCCCTTTCCCTTCGATAGGCATTTGTATACATTAAGTACAGGACATACAGACAGACAGAGAGCGAGTGACACCTCTTTTATTTCCATTGATTTACTGATAAAAATACTTACAAATTATGAATTTATTGTTTCCCGTGGTTTTCGTCGACTTTTTTTTATTAATTTAGAAATTATTTAAATAAATAAATAGTTTTTAATTACAATTAACTGTAAAATTGATTGCAATTTACTATTTCTACAGAAAAATAATGATTGTTTTATTTTGCCTTTTATTTTATACACATTTTTGTGTGAATTTTCAGATAAACAAATGTTTGAATTGAATTTATATTTAATTTGTAGATAAAAACAATTAGTAAAACAATAATTGCATTAATTTTTTACACATTTTTCGTAAATTGTTTGTGTTTTGCGTTACGTTTACACACTATATATGAAAAAGCAATTCATTAATTCATTACCATTTTTTTCATTGCATTTTATTTTCATTGAGAATTTGAAGTGAAAAATATTAATATTTTTATTGTTTTAAAAATTTAATGATTTAGTCAATGAAAAGATTAATTTTGCTGTCATTTGCCCTTAAATTCTAGGATTAATTAAATTATAAATAAAATTGAAATAAAATTTGAATCATTTGTTAAATTTTAAATATTTTTTCTCATTTCTCACACTATTTTCTCCTTTTTTTCGGGAAGTTTTGCGATACTATTATTCGTTTGAATTTTTTACGGTAATTTTTTAAATTCATTTTTTTATTTAAAACAGTGTGTCCGCGATTTGAGCATTCCTCAATTTTAGCATAAGGTTTTGTTAGCCTCGTTGAGTCATTAGAATCCGATTTTGGCATTTATTTTTCATATTTTTTAATAAGATTTTAAAGTAAACAATAAATTAATCTTTTATTCGCAGAAAATATTCCCAATTTTATCAGTTTATTAAATTATTTACAAATTATAAGTAATTTTTATGACAGGAATTAATTAATTATATATAATGGCTGAAAAGTATAGCAATAAAATGTTATTTAATTGTAAAAATAATTGGCACAAAAAAACAACTCAATTATTAGTTAAAAAGTTAATCAAAACAAAAGCAAAGAAAACATGTATTAATCGTTAGGCTTATAGTCTGTTACGGTTGCGAAGATCACCGCTGGAACCGATGGTAACGAATGTCGTCTTCAAACATATCAGCGCCAGAGACGCAGAAGAGGATAATCGTAAACACGGCTATCATTGCCGACCAACCGACCCATACGTACGGCCAGTCCCTGTTCATCGGTTCCCTCTTATGTTTATCATCGATCATCACGAGTGGCACCGGCGGTGACTCTCGGACCCGACTGTCCACCGACTCGGGTCTCACATTTAGTTTATTTAACGGCAGCCGTACTTCACGTTTGAACAGTCGGTTCGACACCCAATGGCTGTCCATCTGTTGTTTGGTATTTACTGGCATTTCGCTGAGTTTATTGGCATTGGTTTTGCGTTTATAATTATTGTCGAAACTGTTGGGCGCCGACGGGTCTGCGGGTACTGTACGTAAACGGTTGGCCAACAGTCGACGGATTATAATCGGGCCTTTATTTGCGTATAAATAACGGTTGGCTGTCAGAAGATGTGGTGAAACGGGTGTCTCTTTATGCACCGGGTTTTGTACGTTAGGGCTTATAGTGAACGATACGTTACAGTGAAGTGAGAAATACGTGAATAAAATTAATACAAAAAATGTTTTATTCATTTTTCATTGCAAAACAGCTTCAAATTTAATGTGTAAGTTATAATCCGTTTAAATGTTATAACAGTTTATAAATTGTTGCGTTTAACAAATGTATTTTGACTTTAACTGTGGTTTTATTATTTGTATTATAAATATTAAACTTTAAACTAAAACCCGCGCTAACAAGTAAGCAATCAGTTAATTAAAAATTATATTTCATTGCATTTTTCATTATATTGTTAATAATAATAATAATGTAATTTATAATAATTAATCCTTTAATTTTAATTTACTTTTATGGATGTTAAAATATTATTTTAATTAAAGTAATGTCAAAACTGAATGACAGCACTTCAAACCTCATTGACAAAATGTCAAAACAAATTGTTTATAAATTATAAAAATATATTTCTAGTTTTATAAAGTTAGAAACTTAATATTACTGTATTTATAAACAGACGGTTTTTATATTGAAAAACAATGAGTGAGACATTGGAAATGTTGGCAAACAATTCAATAGCGATCGCATGGATTGATATGTCGTTTGGCATTAAGTCTTTGTTTGGGACAAACGATAGGCAAGTGTTGAACGCATTGAACGGTTGGTCAGAGTTGGCGACACTGACCGCAGTTATGGGTCCGTCCGGTGCGGGACTCACATCACTGTTGATGTGTTTAAACGGCGCTAATAACCGGACTATTAGTGCAGACAGTGCCGGTACTGTCGGCACCGGTGGCGGGGAGTCGCCCATACGTGTGAGTCGTGTCCACAAAATACGGACCGCTTTTATTGCACACAACGAAAAGGATTTCCTTATAATGGGTTTGACTGCAAAGCAAAACATGATTTACGCCTCGAAACTGAAAAACTCCGGACCTGACGGACAACACGTGGATCACGAACTAAATGTCCGCACAGTTATGTCGGATCTGATGATCGCCGACATAATGGACACGACTATCCATAACTGTAGTGGCGGTGAACTGAAACGACTGGCCATTGCTGTAGAGTTGACAGCTGTTAACAAACCAAATGTGATTTTATGCGACGAACCGACCACTGGTCTCGACTCTAACATCGCTGAAGTGGTCTGTATTTTACATAGATTTTAATTCATAGCTTATTGAACCTTAATGTCGTGTATTATTATTTTCAAAGGTAATGCAATCATTGAAACGTTTGGCCCAAAACCATAACATCTCAATCATTGCATCCATACATCAGCCGAACTCAGATATACTGGAAATGTGTGACAAACTATGCGTTTTGGCCAAAGGGGGTCACTGTGTGTATTGGGGGCCGAAAGCATACCTCAGCCAACACTTACGGCAATGCGCTATCGATTTGACCGCAAATCAAGTGCCCATCGAGTCGTTGATTACAATCGCGTCGAAAGGCATTTGCGATCAAAACGTACGACAATTGAGAGACGAAACTAACCGTCAATTCAACGCATATATTGATGAAATCCGGAGACAAACAAAACCCAAACTCATTAAACATAAGGCCAAACGATTTAACGCTAAAGACGTCCGCATTTTACTCATGAGATCCTTAACCGAAATATATTCACATAAATGGCGACAACTGGCCATCGGATCACTTATTATAATCCTATCAGCAATTGCTTTATGCGCCAGTTTTGACACAAATATCGGCAAATATACGGATTGTGTTGTAATCGGTGCGACCAATGATAGTGTGACCACATGTTTTCATCAGTTACAGTCTAGTCAAAAAGCTTACTTAAATTTTGCATTTAATGCATTTGCTATTTGGTTAGCGATTGTATTTCAAACTATATCGTCAATTATGTTTATTGTGGATTCGCACACAAGGTATAACACTGAACACCGAAACAGTTAAGTTTAACTCTAATTTCCTATTGAATTAACATTACCTCATAGAGAACTATTGTAAATTAATTTTTATTCATGTAACTATAGACTGGTATAGTAGTGGCGTATATTTTGTCATGCAATACATATTATCCATAATTCCGGTTACGATAAATACCACTATATATGCGTTGATTGTATTTTACATGTCATCGCAATTGAATGAACCGAAAAGGTTTTGGCCATTCGTTTGCTATTATATACTGACACTAAATATAAGCGATTCAATCGCTTTCATATGTGTTATATTGATCTCAAACTCAGTGCTATGTTATTTGATTGGATTCATAATTGCCAATTCTAGCATGTTAGCAACCGGCCTGTTTATGCAGATATACGATTTTCCGGAAATAGCTAAATGGATTCTTGTTTTATTCCCAACACGATTTGCATTGCCTGGAATGATGACTGCGATATACGGTTTGAATCGTTGTCCAAGAAATAAAGTTTCAAAACTACTATATTCTCAACGATTAACTGATGATAACTTAATAATTGAAAATATAATAAATCTGACAATTGTGCTCATCGCATTGAAATTGGTGCCATTTATTTTGCTATCACTAAAGACATACATAGAATATATTCCTAAAATAAAATACCATTTAAACATATCATATGATAATAATATGGAAAATAACATTAATGATAATGTGTTTGAAATGCAATCAATTGGCGATCAAGTGATAGACTGTAATGAAAGCATTGAAGCAAATAATGAAAATCTAATTAGCGATGAATTTCGTGCCGAAACAAATGTTAAGGGATTGAGTGTCGCGTGGATTGACTTAACACTAAAAGTCCGCAAAACGTTGTATTCGTCGGAAAAAGTGATTTTACGGGCGATTAGAGGGTTCGTAGAGTTCGGGTCATTGACGGCACTCATGGGTCCGTCCGGTGCGGGAAAGACATCACTCCTGAGGGCATTGAATGGTATGAATAAGACTCTCATCACTAAGGAGTCTAACATCTATTTGAGTCGTCGGACAAAAATCAGGGCCTGTTTTATAGCACAGAACCAAAGGGAACACATTATGAAGGGTTTAACTGTCAGGTAGTAATTAAGTAAGTTTAAATTAAAAATGCTCATTGTTTATCGTCCGATAGAGAGGCCATACTATACGCGAGTAAACTGAAAAACAGTGGCACTCCTGGTGTGGATCACTGGGCAATAGTCGGGCAACTGATGTGTGAATTGGTTTTGACGGATATATGTTTGACAGATGTGTGGAAATGCAGTTCCGGTGAACACAAGCGTATAGTAATGGCAATGGAATTAACGCCACAATTGAAGCCAAACCTCATATGCGTTGACGAACTCACGAGTGGTGTCGACTCATATTCAGCGCTTTTGGTATTAAAATTTTTA